GTTTCACAATTGGCCAATAATAACGTGTTATTCAATTTCATGTGACGACCAATCACGAGAAAGTTATCCTATATGGTTCAGTTCGGGTTCGGCCCGAACCGAACATCGGAACACTAATTATCAAACACAGATAGACCGTTTAGGAAAACTAAAAAAAGAAAACCAAATCAGCGACTAAGTAAAAAGAAAATTAAAATTAGAATTTTGAGAGCCAAAAGCAAAAAGATTACAGAAACAAGCAATTAGACTTATCTCTTGTATTCTAAACATGGATTAAACAAGCTCTATACAACAACAAAAGTTAATACAATTATCTTAGAAGAATTAACGCCAGACCAATTTAACCAATTAATCCAATAATAATATAAATTTTATTAATTTTGAATAGCCTCCAAAACAATTTCTAAATTTGCCACCCGAGACACCAGCCTACTTCTTTCAACGACAAGAGCAGCATAATTTGTATTCCTCTGCTAGTTCTCCCTATTAATCTGGTCTATTTGAAATTCCCGGTTCTCGATTTCACCTTGTAGTTCTCTAATTCTTCTTAATAATTCATCAACTCTTCTTTGTAAATTTCTGACCTCACGCCCAAGTCTAAATTATAATTATCATTATTACTAGTATTAATTTATTATTTACTATTATACTATTACCTTTCATTTGTATGTTGAGAAAATTCTAAGGCCTCATATAAGGCATTTTGGCCATTTCTTCTTTGACGGCGTGTGGTTGAATATCGTTGTGGCATGATTACTTTATTATTATTATTTAAGTGTAATATTCAGAATAGAGGTTGGAACCGGTTTTAATAATTCGGGTTTATCACGTGAATTTGGTGATATTTTAGAATTTATTAAATTTTAATTGGATTAAATTCTAAAATATCACCAAATTCATGTGATAAACCCGAATTATTAAAACCGGTTCCAACCTCTAATTCAGAAAACCAAATCTTGAAAAAAAAAATCCCGAATGATCACAATTGCTGAATCATCACGCATTTACTAATTTCATCCCCGAAATTTTGATTCTGGCCAATCAGAGTGCAAGTTCAGGTGCAACGTGACAATCAAAACAACAATCGTTCTTTTTTGAAATGTCACATTTATCTCAAAAATTCGTCTAAGAAATCATCTTTTGCGTAGGTTGAAATTTAAAAAGCGATTATGTGGTAGCGATACTAGGCGCATTCATTCACTTCGTGATTGTATCACTCCATTCCTTATATTGTGATCTTTCAAGATTATAACCTTTCGGATAATTCTAAACGGATGATTGGTATCCATCAGATAATCCGGATATATCCGATATGTAGTGCCTCTTAAATAAGATTAATAATAGTTCGATCAATTATATTTAAATTTATTTAAAATTCGACCTTCACATGGCATCGTAATCTGCAGAGATCACAAAGTGATAATAGTTTGGGGATTATGACCTTCGGGGTTATGATCATTCGGGATTGTGATCATTCGGGATTATGATCATTTGGATTGTGATCATTCGGGATTGTGATCATTCGGAATTGTGATCATTCAGGATTGTAATTGTGATCATTCGATTTTACTAATTTATCCCCCCAGTTTTGATTGGCTAGGATTATTCGCACCAATTTACATGTCACCTTCTGTCTAAAATGTGACATCTCATTTAGGGTCGGGGTTAGGGTTAGTGGGCGGGATTATACCAAAATTTTGCAAGGAATTTTTTTTGTTAGTGCGCAAAAGATGATTTCTTAGACGAATTTTTGAGATAAATGTGACATTTCAAAAAAGAACGATTCTTGTTTTGATTGTCACGTTACACCTGATCTTGCACTCTGGTTGGCCAGAATCAAAATTGGGGGATGAAATTAGTAAATGCTATTTTAGGTAGTGTTAGGGTTAAAACTAAACGAGTTTCCAAACTTGTTTATGTAGTGAATTTGCTAACACTAATTTCACTATATAACGATAATTTGAAACAGATAAATGGCGAGTACATTTAGAAAACTAAATTAATACGTAGTAGATCTAGATAAAATCATACGATGAAATTTAGTGAATGCAGGCAAATGCAAGTGAATGCACAGTATTAAATCATATCATATCACGTATAAAAATTAATAAAATAAAAATTTATTACTAGATACTCTAAAACATAGTTTCATTTTTAATAAACTTTTTTTTACAACTAAAATTTGAAAATTTGTTCTTACGTTATTATTTAAAGAATTAAATTTAATCTTGTAGTAGTCTATAAAAAATAGTTCTTTTTTCACATTAACAATTTTGTTTATGCTAAATTATTATTTTTGTGCTAAATTATTTTTTTTAGCAATAGTAATTGATACAGTATGTTGCATATATTTCATCCTATTAGGGGTAATATTATAACAATTCTATAATAAACTATATATATATATATATATATATAAATAAGAATCTCACTAAATTTATATAGTTTAGAATATATTATTTACATGGTTAGAAATATTTTTTTTTTAAAAAAAAGTAAAGGGGGGAGATTGAAAAATTTTTTATCACACACCGTATATACAATCCCACAAAAATGATGTCCGAGTTACATCACGCCAATGCAGTAATTCAAAAGAAATCATCGGAAGTTGCCGAGTTTCTATATATGTATTGAAATCCAACTAGATAGAAAGATATAATCTAATTTTTTAGAACTATGACATAGTTCTAAGATAATCCGTATTTTATTATTACGTTCTCTTTACACGCTATACTTAATGAATAGCGTTTTTATGAAATTACTTATGTACTTTTGACTTACGTAATGTTTGAAGTATCGAAAGCATCAAAAATATCAGCTGATTAAACTGATTGATTCATAGTGCTTTCTTCAGGAGATTTATTGAAGCATTGTCCGATTGTTGTTTCCCACAATTTCTCACAAATATATTTAGTCTTTACGAACAAAAGGGATAAAGATTTTAGTCACACCAGATTTACGAGGATGACTTGCTGCGCCAGCACGAATAGTATTTTTACTCGCGGTAGTTCTTGATTTTGAGATTGGCGATGGTTTGTTCAAAGAATTATTTGAAACTTTACGTGGCTTCCTGTCTTCAGAGCCATCTATGATATTTCTCTTTTTGCTTTCATTTGTGTGTCTGCTAGCATTTTTTTCGGAAATCTTGCACTTTTTTTCTTCCTCTAATCCATTCTCCTTTAAATAGTCAAGATAGACACGATTCTCCACTTTAAATCTCTTGCTTGCAACACGTTGAAGTTCATTATAAGGCTTATTAATTTTAAGAAACCAAATTTATAAGTAATTTTGGCAAACAATTTTAACAAATAATTTTGAAAGTAAATTAATGCACCTCTTTATCCTCTTCACTTAATGAGTTCCAACGTTGAGCTACGATTTTTATACATTCTCTCCACGGAAGGCCAATTAACATAGAATCTCGATTATCGAACATCTCTTTACGAAAATAGCCAAAAGAACCTAAAGGTCGTTGTGGTTTTGCAGGAGCAGGTTTTGGTACAGGAGCAGCGAATTTTCTTGCAGCTTTCATCGATGGTTTACTCAAACCATTTTGTTGTAACATATTTTGATCGGAATTTATAGAAGAATCGGAGTTTTTTCCTTTTTTGACGATTGGATTTGCTAACTTTCTAGTCGAATAACGTCCTTTCGGTTTAGAGGAGTCTTGATTTTCAATTATTGAAGGAGTAGTAGACAATTTTATATGTTTATAAGAAGTGATAGGTTCATCATCCGAGGACTCTTCAGTGTTATGCTGACTAATTTGATCCCGATCGTCAACTGAATAAGTTTGCATATTTTCAGACTCATCGCTCGAAATGATATCTTTCCTCTTTTTAATGTTTGGACGAGCTCTTTTTCGAATGATCCTGCTTTCAGTTTCATGATGTTCGATGATAAATTTCCTAGGTTGTGTAGATTTTCGTTTGTTTGAGGAGACTGTAGTGGAAGAGTTTTCATGATTTGTCGGTTCTATAGGTTTATTTTGTTCAGATTGAATATGGTCATTACGATGTACAGACTTTGTTGAGAGCTCTTCTTGTTTGTCGATTTCCTTTTCATCTATTTGAACTTGATCATTATTACCCCGATTATCTAAATGATTAATATTATTGTGCCATAAATCATTTGATTCCCGAGTATAATTTATTTCTTTGTTTGTATTTGTTTCATTGGCAATGGTTGAAGGAGGAGGAACAAAACTATAGGAATCGGTCATTTTTCGTTCTTTATGTTCATTAGAAAGTTGGATCTTCATGTTGACATTGCCGAATACTTCATTAATAGAAGACCCGTTCATTATTAAACGCAACTGTGGAGGCATTACATCACAAAGAGCCTTAAGAGAAGTTTCTGCTCGCTTAACATCATTATCAACAACTTTACGAATAATCTGATGTATATATAAATTTTGGTGGCACATTCCAGAGTTAATTTTGATGATAATTAAAAATTTGGAATTATTTTATAATCTCTGATATCATAAACATTTCTAAAGTTTTTAAAGTATTTATCCTAAATCTTACCGCACTAAATTTCATTTTAGATTCTTCAATAGTCGATTTTGATGTATTAATTTCATCAATATCCATATTATCATTATTTTCATTAATTGAATTATCACCATCACTCCCAGAATATATATGACCAGTTTTTAAAGACTTATTTAATTCCATATTTACCCGGTATAACAAATAGCTAGAAAAAAAAAAAACAAAAAAAAAAAAGAAAAAAATTAGGATAGGATTTGAAAGAGTAATATATTTAAGAAATGATTGAAGCTTGAGAGATGTTTAATCATGCTTCTATTGTATATATATGAATTATTTTTACACTTGGGCAATACCCGTACACGCAATGTGATTCATCAATTATGTAAATCAATGTTAAACAAATGTACATCTTTCTTAATGGGGCTAAATAAGTTGGTCCTTTTTTTTTCGTCAGGCGCAAAAAAATTTTTTTAGGGAACAATAAATCCTAAATGACTAATGGTTCAGGAGGGTAGTTACCTGAATTTAAGCTCGTATAAAAAAAAAAAAAAAATCCAGAAAAAAAAAACCAAAGTTATACAAAGAAATTTAAACTTTATACATTCAGAGGTGTAACAACATTAAAATGACCAATATATAATTTGAATACCGATACATGATCTAATTTTTGAGGGGTTCATGTTTCCTGGCACTTTACAATGCATCACAATTTTACGAATTTGCAGTCCTTGATTCTTCCACGTTTAGGAATACAATCACACATCAAGTAAAATGTGTAAATTAATCATTAGTCGAGAGAAATACAAGAATATCCTGCTGCAATTTTTTGGGACCTTTCAAGTTATATCTTTGACGATCTATCATCCGAGTTATCTCATAGGTCGGAATGGTACATAATATACTATCCATATTCAGCCACAAGAATGGTTTTGATCCTATTCTTTTTTTTTTTTTCCAGATTTGTAAAAAAAAAAATTGCAATGGACAATATTATACGTACCGATGCAAAAATTTCTATTACAGCGAATGTTTTGAGATTGCAAATGTTACTTTTGCAAATATTCTTACGCTCGCTTTCAAAGTCTAAACCTGCTAACTATAGAGGTAATGGTTTTTTTCTTTATGGATATGCACCTGTTTAACAGATTAATTCAGCCATGTATGAAAATTATTACGCATAAATGTCAAGCAATTACAAATTATTAGAATAAGAACTTATACGAATCGTGAGTTCGTATGTACGTACGTACGAAATATAAGTACGTACGTACGTACGTACGTACACAGTTTGATTACCTGTATTTATTGTATATTTATGTTGTACCTGAATAAACAAAATTTTCATTTGAAAGTTACTGCAAATCTGCACATTTATATTCAATTTTAAGATTTATATTTTAGATTTGTAGATTGAATAGCTCTGGTCATAATCAAGAATATATCAGATATGATGTGATCAATATTATCATGGTTCTTTTAGTAAGTCACGCATAGTTCTCGAAATTATATCTTGTAAGTCCAAAGGTGTAGCTGAAAAACTTCCACTTTTTTTACTCTCATCACCTGGTTTTTAGTATCATTTATTCCACAATTATGCGGTTTTTTTTTTTGATTTAAGTTCTTTCTTACTAGACAAATAAATCTCGGTCCGTAATGAAAATTGTGGAAGTCTCAGAAATGTCAAATTTTTTGATAAATAGTAATAATGGTTTCCCATTTTTTACAAACCAATTAATCTGCATTTATTGATCCAAACAACATGTTTCAATCATCTACTAGCTCAGATATAACAATATAAATGTTTGAAACGGACTATTCATAAAGCACTATAGTAAAACATTATTTAAGGTATTTACATCAATGCTACAATATTGTATAACGATACCGATGGCGATATAATTAACTCTAGTTCTATCAGTTTAATTTAGAACACTTAACGTTTAAATGATACCGATACGTTAAATCACTTGTCAGACTCTGTTGTGCATCAGGGAACAGGGGAATTGTCTGGACACATGAACGAGTAATTATATTTGTTTTATTTTATACTATTATAAAACCAAAAGATATATAGATATATATAGAATGTAAAAGTTTCGAGTATTATCAAATATAGCAATTGGTCAACAAAGAATGAATAAATTTATACAGTATATTAATTAAATTTTCTCAGGTTGTCTATTGAAATGTTTTGTCACAGTAACTTTATTACTGTTTTTAATAGGGATCCAATTATATTACTATTAACATATTGCATTATATTATTCGTTTAAAGATGTCAGATTTGAGTTTGTATACGTATATAAAATACGTATATATAATTTACAAGTGCTACGTAGAAACTTATACTACGCAATAATAATCGTATTTTACTATAAATTTTAGGGAACGCCTATTTTCAACCATGGACATTTGCTATTTCCACCATGCTGCCATACTTTCCATATGACTTTCAGCTACATAAACATGACGAGAATATTACCATGATAATTACGTCAAATTGTGGAAATGTTATGCGTCATTTCTCAATTTGAAAATAACATACGTTATAGGGAACCGAAATCATGCTTATGTAGCCGAAACTCATGAAAAATATGGTGGAAATAGACGTTCCCAAATTTTATGATTTACTTTTTGTTAAAGAAGTAATCTACTTGTCGCCGGCGGTGACAATACTTGGATTTTATTTAGAGTTAAATTTAGGATTAGAAAGAGTCATAATATATAGTAAAATTATGCAAGAAATATTTTTTGTTAAGACACGAATTTTGAGTTATTTTGATTCGAAATTTTTGAGGTTTCTGAATCGTTAATCTGATTGGCCTGGATTTGTCACCACCGGCGACAAATAAATTCATCCTTAAAATAATATTTAAAAAAAGTATGCCAATTTTAACTATCATCAGTAATTTATTCAAGACGCTATATCAAAACCTACTAGCTAAGCCATCTTAGAAATATTAAATAATATGTATATAGTTATTGAATATGAAGCAGCAAATAAGTATACATTATCCGGTAATTTATGATCATGATTGGTAGTGTGAGTTTTAATTTGAACAAGGTAAACCGTCGCGCAAATCCTGTGAGTCTTGTGTTAGTTGTTACGTAGGATATCATAAATTAGGTTAATTATAAATAAGAACGGTATAGATAAATGCATATATGAAAGGGTAAACCTGTATAGAGGTGATAGCTTTCTTGACGTAGATTTATACCTAATTTAAAGTAGGTAGCATTTTACAGTAGATCAAGAAATATAATTTTTATTAACGTGTAATATATAGTTTGGAGTTTGATATGTACGCTCTATCGGGTCAATGGACATAGTCCAGTGGTAGTTAATATAGTGATTTGAACCGGCTAGGCCTTAATCGGGTAACTGACTTTAACTGAACAAATTCTGGTGAACCGATTAAGTAAATGCTTAACCGGTTAATTTGACATAATGGTTGATCCGGCATAATCGGCTAACCCGCTATAATTGGTTAACCTGATATATGATCAGTTAATCTGATATAATCGGTTGACCCATATTCAATATTTGTGGCTTAAAAATATGTATGTACAGTATAGATTTTTTTATTGTTTATTGAGCTATTTTTTTTGTCTGCTTTAACTGCTTTAAATAAAGAAAAATTTTAACAAACAACTTTTGGTTAATTTAGTTAATTAGGTTACTTAGCTAATTTGATTAACTGATTGGCTTGGTTGATCTGATTAGCTTAGTTAATTAGATAATTTAGTTCACCTGGTTAATTTGATTGACCTGGCTAATTTGGTTAGCCCAAGTCAACTAATTTAACCAAAATAATATGGTTAAACTAATTGTATCTGAGTAAATTAACTTGGTTAACCAATTTGAATTTTATTATGCTTTTTAAATTATTAAATTAATAAGTAATATTTTTGGTAGAAATGTAGCAACTTAGTGAAGTAGTAAAGTTGTTGCACCCCAAGTGGTCGAATACTGGTTCAATTCTCACAGAGGGTGAAAATTGAATTTAGGAAAAAACAGATTTGACAACTATTGTTATGGCTGAGAAAACTTAAGATCCTGTAACTGTAGTTGTATCAAGATAACAATTGGAAGATCTTGAGGCATCTGTGTAATAAAGAAGTTATACAAAGGCATGCAAGCTGGTTTAGTTGATGCAAACTCTTGATAAGTTTTTCAGGATTACAAAAAGCTACAGAGCTGATATGACAATAGGGTACTTACTTGGCAAGTTCTGAATAAAGAAGTAACAAAGACTTTAACAATATTACTGGAATAGGCTTCATCTGAGGCTAGTATAACTAAATGAGGACCAGGTATTCAGAGAGAGGTATTTCACCAACCAGACTACCAGAACACCAGAGAAAAGGATCTGCAATGCAGATACCAAGAGACCAGTATCTCTTCTGAGCCATCTGGATTAATAATCTGAGGAAATCGGCTAAAATACTGAAAAAAGAAAAGTATTGGGTTGTCTTAAAGGGGTATTGGAGTTTGAGTGAACTTTATAAAGGCAAGAAGTAGGTTGTGTAGTGAAGATCAGACTATAGTTAATTAAAATATTATCAAAAAACTGATATAGTAAAAACAAATAGCCAAAAAACACTTCTACTATCAAAACTGATCACAAATAATGTGCCTTAGTCTAGACAGATCCAGAATGTAGGTAAGATTTTCTGGGTCATATATATTTCGAATTTTCAACCTAATTCGGATGATCATCATAATAAGATAATCAAAATTTTTTTTTGGTAAAACCAGTGCCAGGGAGTGTACGATCGATCAGATCTAAAAAAAATTTTACTGCAACAGTATTATGTACATATATCGTGTTGTTTTCGTTCTTTGGAGCGTCTTTGTCGTTCTTTGGTGATTTTTTTTTTTAAGAATATCTTTTTTTTTTTCTTTTTTTTGTAATAAATTTTTTTTTTTATATCTTTTAGATTTTTTTGAGCTTTTTTCTGATCTTTTGGGGCTTTATAGGTATGTTTTCTTATGAACTTTTGTCTGATCTTTCAACATTTTTTAGTAAATTTTTACTGATCTTTTGGAATTTGTCAGTAAATTTTTTGTAGACTTTCTTTTGGGTTTTCTTGTAAACTTTTCTCTGGTCTTTTGGTGTTTTGGTGAACTTTCTTGTAGACTTTTCTCTTGTCTTTTGGCATTTTCTGGAGAACTTTAGATTTCTTTTGGCCTTTCGGCGTTTTTTGGTGAACTTTATGGTAGTCTTTTGGCATTTCTGGAGAATTCTCTGTGGACTTTTCTTTGGTCTTTTAGTGTATTTCTTGTAGCATTTTTTTTTGAAGAATTCTTATAAACTTCTCTTAGGACTTTGGCGTTTTTTTTTTTGGAGAATTCTTGTGGACTTCCCTTAAAACTTTCTTGGGAATTCTTGTGGACTTCCTTTAGGATTTCGGTAGGTTTTTTGGAGAATTCTTGTAGACTTCTCTGCAAGGTTTTTTTTGGAAAATTCTTGTGAACTTCCTTTAGGACTTCGGTGCTTTTTTTGGAGCATTTTTGTGGACTTCCCTTGGAACTTTTGGCGGTTTTTTTAGAGAATTCTTGTGGACTTCCCTTAGGACTTTCGGTGTTTTTTTTTGGGAGAATTCTTGTGAACTTCCCTTAAGACCTTTGGCATTTTTTGAGAGAATTTTTGTGGACTTCCCTTAGGACTTTCGGCGGGTTTTTTTTGAAGAATTCTTGTGAACTTCCTTTAGAACATCGGCATTTTTTTTTTTTTGGAGACTTCTCTTGAGACTTTCTTTGGAGAATTCTTGTGAACTTCCCTAGGACTTTCAGTATTTTTTTTGGTGAATTCTTGTAGATTTCCCTTAAAACTTTTGTATTTTTTTTTGGAGAATTCTTGTAGACTTCCCTTAGAACTTTCGAAGGCTTTTTTGGAGAATTCTTGTGGACTTTCCTTAGGACTTTTGGCATTTTTTTTTGGGAGAATTCTTGTGGACTTTCCTTAGAACCTTCAGCATTTTTTGGGAGAATTCTTGTGGACTTCTCTTAGGACCTTTGGTGTTTTTTAGAAGAATTCTTGTGACTTCCTTTAGAACCTTCAGCGTTTTTTGGGAGAATTCTTGTGGACCTCCCTTAGAACTTTCGGTGTTTTTTTTTTTGGAGAATTCTTGTGGACTTCCCTTAGGACTTTGTCATTTTTTTTTTTTGGAGATTTTTGTGGACTTCCCTTGTGACTTTCAGTGGGTTTTTTTGGATAATTCTTGTGGACTTCCCTAGGACTTTTGGCGTTTTTTTTGGAGAATTCTTTGAACTTCCTTTAGGACTTTCGGCGTTTTTTTTTTAAAGAATTCTTGTGGACTTTCCTTAGAACTTTCGGTGGATTTTTTGGAGAACTTCTCTAGGACTTTTAGTGAGTTTTTTTTTGAAGAATTTTTGTGAACTTCCTTTAGGACTTTCAGCATTTTTTGGAGAATTCTTGTGGACTTCCCTTAGAACTTTCGGTATTTTTTTTTGAAGAATTCTTGTGGACTTCCTTTAGGACTTTCGGTGATGTTTTTTAGAGGACTTCTCTAAGACTTTCGGTGGGTTTTTTTTTGAGAATTTTTGTGAACTTCCCTTAGCACTTTTGGTGTTTTTTTTTGAAGAATTCTTGTGGACTTCCCTTAAGACTTTCAGCGTTTTTTTTGAAGAATTCTTGTGGACTTCCCTTAGGACTTTTGGTGGCATTTTTTGGAGGACTTCTCTAGGACTTTCAGTGGGTTTTTTTGGAGAATTTTTGTGAACTTCCCTTAGGACTTTCAGCGTTTTTTTTTGAAAAATTTTTGTGAACTTCCCTTAGAACTTTTGGCATTTTTTTTGAAAAATTCTTGTGGACTTCCCTTAGGACTTTCGGCAGGTTTTTTGAAGAATTCTTGTGGACTTCTCTAGGACTTTTAGCGGGTTTTTTGAAGGACTTCTCTAGGCTTTCGGTGTGTTTTTTTAGAGAATTCTTGTGAATTTTCCTTAGGACTTTCGGCGTTTTTTTTTAAGAATTCTTGTAGACTTCCCTTAGAACTTTCAGCGAGTTTTTTGGAGAATTCTTGTAAACTTCCCTAAAACTTTAAGCAGGTTTTTTTTTAGAAAATTCTTCTTAGGACTTTCGGCGTTTTTTTTTTTTGGAGAATTCTTGTGGACCTCCCTTAGGACTTTTGGCATTTTTTTTAGAGAATTCTTGTGAACTTCCCTTATGACTTTTGGCGGCATTTTTTCTAAAGAATTCTTATGGATTTTCTTTAGAACTTTGGCTTTTTTTTTTGAAGAATTTTTGTAGACATCTCTTAAGACTTTCAGTGGGTTTTTTTAGAAAATTCTTGTAGACTTCTCTGAAGAATTCTCGTCAACTTCTCTAGGATTTTCAGCAGGTTTTTTTTTTTGGAGAATTCTTGTGGATTTTTGGTGCTTTTTTTTAGAAATTTCTTGTAGATTTTTTTCTGAATTTAGCATTTTATTTATTTTTTTTATTTTTATTTTTTTTACTTTAATTTTTTTTTTTAAATTTTTTTTTTATCAATAAAGTGCACTCCAGAGTATAGTTTAAATTGTGATTTGCATTTTTTATTATTGCAAATTGATCATGTGATTCCGGTTTTGATCAAAGCTCGATTTTTCACATAACCCGAAAAATCTCACCTACATCCTGGTGCTGTTGCATACAACCATATATATTGTACTAATATATATTAATCTATAACTATGTAGCAAGTGGCTACAAGCAGAAGCAGTTGGCTTTTTACAATTAGAATATTGTATTTGAATTTTTGATTTCTAATGAAATCAGCATCCTTTAGACCTAATACAAGCTCTTCCATAAACCTTTCCAATATTGCAAAGAAATAGACAAAAATATTTACTAATTATTCTATTTTTTTAATACTAAATTTCAAAAAATTAATAAATAGTTTATTTTTCAGTTTTTTTCAATAGCCAAAGTACTTTGATAAATAGCATTTTAACAATAACTCTATAATCTAAAAGTGAAAGGTATAGAAAATAATTAATTAAAGAAAAATTATATAAGTAAGTAATAGCGTGATAGTAAGAGTTAACATTATAGTTAGAAAAACTAAAAGTGATAAAAAGAATATAATATACGATCATTGTAAAAGAACTTTAGCAAATCTTAATAAACTTTATAAGCATCTTAAAAGAAAAAATTTATATAAGCCTCGAACTATTAATCAGAAAGTTATTCGAGATCCTAATCAAACTACAAAGCTAGCTCCCAAAGCATTACCAATTCCTTCTGTATTATCTAATAATGAAGAGAATAGACATGATTAAAAAGAAAAGCAAGCTTTGATCTCTATTCTTAGTAGAGATTATATTATTAATAAGGAGGCTGAAAGGTAGGTAAACCTAAATGCTTATAAGCCTGGAAAGCATTTTAAAAAATAGAGAAAAAGGTTGATAAAAAGATAAAAAGAACTTGGTTTATATATTAAACCTTTTCTACCTAATAATCTAGATAGCTGTTAAACTCTTTTCCATAATCTTGAGCAATATAACAAAGACATAATTAGATCACCTACAAAAGAGAAGTTAGATAAATATGAAAAGATGTCAGAACCTGAAGCTGGCCCTAGATCTAGAACACAATTCTTTAGAAAAGATAATAAATCTAAAAATTTGATTAATAAAGAATTTAGTTACTTAGAAGAAATTACTAATAAACAAAAAATAGATCTAAAATTTAGAAAGCAAAAAGAATTAGATACAGCACTTAAAAGAAGAGCTATAGTAGTATATTGTGTAAAGTTCCTAAATCTCATCTTGATAATAGAAGTAATATACGAAATTTTTAAAAAACTGAAGAAAGCAATTTAGAAACTTACTTGAGAAAGAATTTGATAAGTGCAGGCAATTCAAGTTTGCTTTATACTTATTAGATAAATTTCTCATAAATAATAAGCCTAGAAATAAAAACAAAAAAAGTTTAAAAAGTGATTGGTTGTGAAATAAACAAATTATAGTTTATAATTAGACTAAAATTAATGACTATTTAAGCAATGTTTTCAAACAAATAATATATCTAGTAGAAGAAAGAGGAGGTAAGTCTAATATTTAAGAATATATTGGAGTGATAATATTGTATCTGGCAAGGTGATTTGTAGTTCTTCTCTTATAATAAGCATTTAAGAATATTATAAAGCTTATAGAGAATAGGTTGTTTTCTTTTATTAAATAGAAATTAATTGTAAAAACTTCAAGAGACTAATTGCAATTATTAGCTCTCCTTCTCCAACCTTCTAGTTTATCAGATTTTAGAAGATGTCAAACTTCAATATGTTAGGTAAAGTAGTTCATTATATCTGACTGGTCTTTTATATTTAATAGCAGAACTAGCAATTATTTTTTTGCCTTTTAATGCTATTTTTACAGCTTTATTAAGAGGCATATTTATCAATTAAGTAGGAGTACAAAAAAAAAAACTTTTTCTCGTAGATCTCAATTTAATAGAAAATAAAAATCAATACAACAAAAATTCTAAAAGCAAGTAAATAAGTAACTAAATACATAGTCAAGAAGACAAAACAACATCTTTACACCACCAGTACACACTCCTAAGTAATCAAAATCAAGAGAAAACAGAGCAGCAAGAACCACCCAACCGACAACAAAGAAAACACCCGATCTAGAGGCCGTTTCGTACCTTTTACCCTTACTATCCAACGTCAACTCCAAATGAGCGAACACAACAGTAGTAATCGAAACAAAAAGGGCAAAAAGACTGCTTCAGTCAAACTAGACTCTACCTACACTGACACAAACTCCAAGATACGACGTACTCTTCTCCCAAGACTATATTCAAACACCAAAAGTGGGCAATCCAGCTTACCCCCTCCAAAAACTACTATGACGTCATCACACTACAACAACAACAACAACTAACTCGTCCAAACAGGTTTTAACAACATCCAAACAGAGTCTCCGGGAAAAAAACAACAACACAACAATTATTTCCCACAACAACAACTCTAATATTACCATATTAGGAAATACACCTCACCCTAACAACGATACTATTCTTAGATCCTGATCAACAACAACAATACTGCAACAATAACACACAACACAGGACCTGCAGCAGGCTCTTCCCAGCCCAATCTGGACATTACCAAACAGGAAAACCTTGTAGATACTGAAATTACTACCCCTATTACCGAATTAGAAAATATACAAACTGACAACAAAATGGAAACTGACACAGCCTCAACTATATCCGCACAGCAAGAAAGTTCCAATACACGTTCATACAGCCAAGTAACTAAACAAAACCTGACAAACAACACCATGCAGAT